TTGCTGGTTAATAGCCGTCGGCATTTTGTATTTTCATCCATGTCGAGGTTGGTTATTATGTTGTTTGGATCATAGAAAACAGATTACGAATTGAGATCCAGATTCACCAAAGACTATTTCGAGTTATATAGTATAAAGTCGGCGGATCCGCTTCTCTTAGAAGTTGACCTTGTCCTTAACGTCATCGGATGACGAGTCTGTCGTATTACGGGACAGATATACAATGGTGCTGATAGTCGACCTATATGTTACCAAACTAATCTGCGTGATTTCATCAGTTAGCTAGTAACAATGCGCTGATATAATTAAGATTGATTGCTTTATGGACATATAGAGCCCATTTTTGTGTGAGTAAGCAGAGACCAGGTAGCTGGTGACTGGTGAAACCCCAAAATTCAACATTTCTCTACATTCTTATTCCAGACTCAACGCAGATTATTCCAGTACAAACGTCTGTCGTCTGCGACAGAATTGCAGGTATACTCGCGTTTTCACATACAGCTAAAAAACTTTTCACACGAATAAAACGCAATTTTTATAAAATCATCAAATATATTTACACGTAAACAGTTTTTATGAAAGGAATCTTCGAGGTTCTTTTTTGGTGATGTTTAAAGTGATTCATGCAGAGTGCTGAAAGGCAGAGGGTAATATTTGTTCCAAGATAACGTCAACCCTGTTACATGTTTCTCAAATTTCCGGAACGTCCGTGAAATAGTCAGCATCATACTTCCCGTCAGCCTTTTCCTCGTCCTCGTCGGCGATTGGTCGGCAGACGTTGCATGCTCTGGCGCATATGTCTGAAGCCCTTGCACACGTACCGCTTTTGTCTTTCAGGAATAACGAGAGGGTGAAGCCTACAAAGGAAGAAAACAATTTTTCAATCACAACATTCCTCGTGCAATGATAGTGGCATACTTGTGAGATATTTGAATTTTATTCTAGTAAACAAGTATGCTTTTTGCCCAGTCGTAAGGAATTCTAGGGAAAGCCTCTGAAGCCAGTATATTAAAGGTTGTGGACTGAAACAGGTTTTGAGTCTTTCAAATAACAATGGTGTGCGATCAAACCAAAGAATGGCGAACAGGTAGGGGATAATGAAGTTATGGATCACGCGCTTTGAGGAAAACGTGGGTTAACGTGAAGCTTCGGTCATAATTGAAGTCTGTGGAATCAGAACTTCGCTTCACTCCATCTGCCCCACGGTGGTGTACTCTGCGCTGCAAGTGCATTAGTTGGCAGTGGTGGACAGTGCTTAGGCAATGGAACATGGCCCACAAACTGTTTAATTATAACCTTGCAAATACTTACTGATTAGGCAAAGGGCAGCGGCGGACTCATAGACTTCAATCCATTTCCCAGCAATCTGAAATTGCGAGATAATTGCAGCGAGTCCCAGTGAGCTTGGAGCCTTTGAAAAAAGAAAGAGCAAAAGAAGGGTTTCTGCAGATTCCGGGACTCTTGTAAAATGGCTGTGAAATCTGTTCAGCAAAGCTCCCGTTTAGACTCATTACATTCTAGTCAATTTGTGGAGTTTATGTTTCTCTCTCAAAAGTACACTCCACAAAGGCTCAGCTAGGCGAGTTATCCGTTTTTCCCCTACCAACCCCCGCTGACAAATCGGTCATTATATTCACAGTCCTTTCCGCTTCATACTACCAGCTAAAATATTATGATAAATAAATCTCTTGGATTACTGAGTTGCTGAGCTAAAAGCTTGTAATGTGCATGTTTTTGCATCGATGTTTTTTTTAACTGTATACTTAGCGAGGTAAATTGGTCCGACTAACGAACAGAAGAATTCACCTTATTCACGATTGCGCTTGCGGAAACATAATAACAAGCAGCAGTAACGAAGAAGTCATTGATCTTTAAGGCTGCGACTAAAATGTCCACATTTAGAGAACCTTACCATACTGGAAAGTAATTTCGGGAAATTAGATAGAAGTAAGATTATTTATGTTCAACAGGGCAGCAAATTTACATTAAGTCGTATTTTAGGGGGATCCAAAACGTATTTGACTACGAGATTGGTTTCCTCGTGCAAGGTCAAAATTTAAGTTCAAACATCTATGACATATCAAATTAATTTAGTGCCATTGCGCAGTTCGCCAGACAGGTGGAGAGTTCATTTCTCTAAGTTTTTAAATACATTTACGCGTCAAAGTAAATGTAAAGTTCACACCCATTAACTGCTACCTACCGTTGCAAAAAATATCAAACCGTAAATGGTTGCCATGTTCTCTGGTCCGAAGATACGTCCAGCGGCACCAGGCGAAATAACAAAATGGCCAGCCAATAGAAAAAAGAGAGAAAATACCCAAACTGGATAGATGTAGGGCAGCGCACTAGGAACTGTTACGTTCGCACATGGACTGGTTACGTTTGCGCCGGCGCTGGCGCTCGAACTCGAGCTTGATATTCCGATTGCAGGAAATGTTGCAAATAATACAGCCCATATGAAGGTGAGCACACCATAGGGACACTGAAGTAAAAAAGGCAAAGAAGTTATCCAAGTTAACAAGTCTTAGCGCAAAATCGAGCGACATCTTTGTAAATTCTGTCGAAATTGCCACAATGCTGCGTGAATGGGCCACAGGTTTGTCTTACATTGAACATGAAATATACTTTTGCACGAAAATAAGCTTACCTTAAAAGAAAAGTGGTCCACAATTAGGCCCCACAGCACTCGTCCCAAAGCGTTAAAAGCGGAACTTAAAGTTGCGATAATTGAGAGATAGCGATCCCCCAGGCAAACGTCTCCTCCGTAGACCTGAAATGACATAACAATATATCATATCAGTGTGTTTACCCATTATGCTATGGGACTTTATCACATACTTGTGTATTTTTACTTCAGTTTTGAATGATAGATCTTGATTTTCTTACACCTATGATATGGACAAGAAAGGCAAGAGCTTCTTATCGGTGATTTCTGTTTAACGACACTAAGGGGACAGTGCTTATTACTTAGATGCATCACTTGCCTTGTAAGTTGAGGATAGAAGCGTCGTGGGTATAACGTTGCAAAAGAAGATGAACCATAACAAATAGAAGTCGATAGTCTGTAAAGCCTCCTTAAGTGTATAACTTTTTTGAACCAGTTTTCTGTAGTGAGGAACATAAGGCACATTGTGAGAAATTATTTCAGCATATAGGTTTCATGTACTATTTAATATAAGACAAATTTTTTTAAACTATGAATAAACATGTCTTATAAAACGGCCTTATCTGATATAATTATCTCATAAAGTCACGCTAACGAAAATAAACCATACGCGTTTAGTTCCACATCCTCTAATATCGAGGAAGATTTTCCCCTGTGAAAGAAAAGCGAAATGATTTTGGTAAATATGCCGGCTGATTTTGGAATATACGAAATAACAAAACAAGACTTACACGGAGTTGGCGGCGTTAGCATACTCTTCGTCCTGATTAATTTTTGAATCATTTTCAGATGCACTCTGGTCAACTGCTTCTTCTGTGTCTACAACTTTTCTTTCCCGGCAGATGATAAACCCGATGATTTGAAGGCCCAACATTACGCCCCCAAGGATAAGGAATGCGTCTGGTACTCTAGCCATTATTGACGGGCTAAAAGGATGGATCGTTGAAGTTGAAATTTAAGCAACTCGACATAAAAGTGTCATACTAGCTCAATGGCTCCACAAGATTTAAATGCTAGTTTAACAAACTTGCGGTTCGCGTTTATGTTTATTTAATATAGTGGGTTCAAAATAACCTACAGATCGTTGTTCTTACACGCACAGGAAACTTACTCAGTTAAGTCAGTCAGGCTATTTGGGTTTATGATGAACGTCTGTATTGGTGTAAATATGAGCGCGCCACACCCGAAGCCTGCAGCAATGATTCCGACAATGGTTGCGCGATATTTGGGAAACCACTAAATAGAAAATTTTTACAAGAAAAAAGGTTAGTTCTGGAAGATTGATTTGGAAATGACGGCGACTGAATAAATCAGACTGAAGTATTGTGAAAGGGGTCCTGTAAGGTAATTTATGCACTTATATTGCCTCTTTGGTAGCATATTCAATCCTTATAAAAATTCTATTAAATTGTTGCAAACATGGCCAGATTATCATTTAGGTCATGACACTTAATACGTTTATGTTTCTGTTAGCTTAAAAATCTTAAAGATTGTAGTAACTTCTACGCTGCAAAGGAGATTTTTTTGTTTTGTTACATATATATATATATATATATCAAA